GAGGGGAGTGTGTGAAGTCTCCTCCCGTCCTGCCGCTGTCCTGAAAGGAGCATGCAGTGCTTCTAAGCACCGCATACTCTTTGTGGGGCAGGGGCAGGGTGGGAGGAGACTTCACACGCTTGCCCCTGCCCTCAGTTGGCCTGGGAGCAAGGGAAGCACCAAGTCTCTCGCTCCCCGCCCCCCCGCCATGGTGCTTAGAGCCAAACGCCAGGATTGACTCTAAGCGTCGCATACTCCCCTGCCCCTAGGCTCTGATTGGCCTAGGGTCGGGGAGCAGCAGCACCTCAGTGGGCCAGATCAACCCATGGAGGCCCTTTTGCCCACCCCTGATCTACACTGTGGGACAAGGTTGAATTAAGATATACAACTTCAGCTACATTAATTGTGTAACTGAAATTGAAGTACCTTAACTCGGCTTTTGGCACTGTCTACACTGCAGGAAGTCAAACGGAGAACACTCTCCCTTTCACTTCCCTTACTCCTCATGGAAGCAGGACTACTGGCATTGATTGGAGTGCCCCTTTCAATTCAAATTAGCTTTCTTAACTAGATGCTAATTGGAACCCTAGAAGATTGACAGTGGCAGCTTCGATCATTCTCTGTAGTGTTGACGTATCCTTTGTGTTCTCTTCTGCTCCCTCTCCATTCTTCTGCATGTTTGTATGTACACACACACACAGAGTTACAATACTCCTGCGGAATACCCTTGGCCACATGGTACTAATTTTTGGGCAGACTTTATTAGTCTTTGTTTGTAACTGTCTCCCATAACAGAGATTCATCCAGTTCAGAACACTTCTCAGCTCCATTTCACTCATCCTCCTAAAATGATGATACCTAATAACCTATCTCAAACAGAAAGAAAATAAATCATTTAACAGTATACAAACGATACATAAAAATGATCATTCTAGGCCAAAGGTCCATCTAGCCCAGTATGCTGTCTTCTGACAGTGGTCAGGTGCCCTAGAACAAATGAATAGAACAGGAAATCATCAAGTGATCCCTCCCCTGCCACCTATTCCCAGCTTCTTACGAACAGAGGCTACGGGTGCCTTTCCTACACATCCTGGCTAATACTTATTGATGGACCTATCCTGCATGATTTAATCTAGTTCTTTTTTGAATCCTGTTAAAATTCTGGTCTTCACAACTTCCTCTGGCAAGGAGTTCCACAGGTTGACTGTTCAGTATGTGAAGAAATACCTCCTTTTGTTTGCTTTAAATCTTCTACCTGATAATTTCATCTAGAGCAGTTTAGTAATAAATGCAAATTTTGCCTCCTCACTGTTTGCCCCATTCTCCAGATCATTTATGAATATGTTGAATAGGTTTGATCCCAGTACAGACCACTATGGGACACCACTAGTTACCTCTTTGCATTTTCAAAACTGATTATTTATTCCTACCCTTTGTTTCCTACCTTTTAATCAGTTATCAGTCCATGAGAGGACCGTCTAAGATATTTAAATAATCCTTTACAAGATAAACTATTTACATAATCCTTGAGATGGACCCTAAACAGTGCTGTCCAAATATAAGAGGTAATGTATAGGATGCAGTTGAGTCCCAGGAATAAACACAAAATTACAGTGTCTTTCTGTCAGAATAGGTTCACAACATCAACATAAAATAATTTTATTCCCACACAAATTTCATTTGGGGCTTTTTTTCCCCCCTGGATTTCTCACACACTGAAAGGTGTGTCTGTTGTTTCTGTAGAACTCCTGGCTGTGACAGTCCCTGCCCATTCAGTCTGGGTGTGGGACTCATTACTGTTTCAGCATTCCCAGCCTCAACATCCACAATGATATTCTTCAATTTGGAGAGCCACAATGCTGAAATCCTGTCCCCTGTTACTGCCTTAGATGGTCCTTCAGGATAACTTTGGGTTTAATCCTGGGACTCAACTATATCCTTTTTGCCACTATTTTTATTTGGGATAGTACAGTATAGGGTCCATCCCAAGGTTTATCCAGCTTAGGGGTCCTATGCTTCTTTCTCCTAGATCAGGTTCTCACTTTCTTAAAGTTTCTCCATATGCCATGATGTTACAGAGGCTTTTCATTTTTATTAGAGGCTATCACCACATTTTCCCCAGTAAAAGTGTGACCTTCATCAGTTTTGAATTCCATGACCTTTGTTCTGTTTCAGGAACTCTGTAAAAGAGGTTTGCTGGGATCAGTACCTCTTGCCCAAGTATGAAGTACTCTCATTGCTGTTTTAGATGCTGGGATGTGCTGGTCCCAGTCCCTTTGGTGGTGAGCTGCCTTCAAAGTCCTATTGACCTTTCCACCATCCTGTCAGATTGTGAGTGCGCTTTTGTGGATGCCAAGAATCTCACAAACCGTGCTGAAACACTTTGGATTTCAAGTTTTCCTTTGCTTTATAACTCACTCAGGGTCTCAAATCTGATGAATACCTGCACTCAGAGCACTGCTGCTATCACATTCTCTTTATAATTTCATTGGCTATACCTCAGGTCATTTTTTGAAGTCATCTATAGTTACCAGCAAATATTGATTGACAGCCTCTATCATAGGCAACAGCATAAGAGTCTCAATGACAGTGCTCTTCACTGGTGCTCCCACAAGATCCCCTTGCATAGGGACTCTTCTTTGTAAAGCAAGCACCATATTTCCTGAACCAACTCTTTGTGTTCTCCCTTGATTTTACCAGATAGAAATTTTCTTTTGGCTTGGCCAACGTTATGCCAATCTAAAATGTCCAGCAGTACTGTATTAAGATCATGACACACTGAAAAAGGAGGTTCTGATGTTATATCTGGTATAAACAGCTGTGTCCATCACCTGCTGTTTTCTTCCACCTTCTATAAATATAAATATTTCCTCTTTAAATTCTAAGCTTTCCCTGTGATAAGAAGCTTTTACCATGTTATTGTGTGTGGGAGGAGACCCCACATCAGGGTAGCTGTGTTTGCTGGTGCGTTTATAATTACATGCTATCATGCAATCAAAATCTATTTGGACGTTTTTGTTAGTTTTGGGTTCCAAGCTCATCCCAAGGACACTGGGCACCTCTGCAAATTAGAGGAAGAGAAGCAGACCAGTTCCAATGAACAACTAATTCCTTGCTTTCCTGCTTAGAGCAGTGTTTTCTTCTAACAAGGCTGTTTGGACAAGGCATCAACATGACTATATCTATGGCCACGCCACTGTACAGTTATGAAATCTAAGCACTGCAGTTTTCCATCCTGACAAATGGTCCCTAAGAATTCCTGGATCTAAAGAGCCATTGCGGGGAAGCATTGATTTGTCCTTACTGTTAACTTCCTTCCCGTCAAATAGTGAATAAAACATTATGAGGATTCCACCACCACAAAAGTTCCTTTTGGTTGGCACCATAATTTCTCTCTGAGAAACTTAGATTTTTACTATAATAAATTACCATCCACTCAAGTCCTTTGTGGTTTTTGTGCCAATATTTTCCTCAAAACATAAGCACTGGCATCTAGATTGTGTCCAGTATGAAAGGGATATTGAAATATGTGTCAGCCAAGCCAGGCATCATCACAAGAGCTTTTTTCACTTATGAAAATGTTACATCACACTCTGCTGACCACTGAAATGGTTTCCTTTTCTCACCCAATCTATACACTGGTTTTGCAATATTTGGATAGCTTTTTTAGCTTGTCTGATCTAATAACCATTATGTTTGCATGTGTGTCAACAGTGTCTATACATATCACATATTGTAATATGCACTCAGTAGCCAAACTCTTATTACTGCTATTTGAGTCTGGGCTATTAAACTCAACCTCTAGGGCTGATCTTTGTACCTCTCTAAGTTTTGCTCCTTCAACCTGGTGCACCTCTTTTACTAGACATTTAGACATGCTGTCTTTGCCTGCCTTACATTTATAATAATTCTTTTTGTGGGCAGTTTTGTCACAGTTACCAGATTTAACTGATCTACTTTTGGATTATGTAAAGCCATTTTTATTATTTTTCTAGTCATTCAGTACTTTCATGTGACAAATGTTAATTCCCTCTTTCATCGCACATATAGGATACAGAGCTGTACTTACAGGGTTCATGGTGATCAGTTTCCATCTTCCTCACAATTTGTGAAACTTCCTTTCCTTTTTCAGGCCTTGTTTTAAATCCCACTGGCCATTTTTTATTTCTGAAAGCATGCCCATTAGTTATTCCATCTTGGTTCAGGAGAAATACCAGCTCACAGTTATTCTCCTTGGAAACTGGATCCCATGGCTGACACCAATGTTACCACTTTCCGAGCCACATAGCTAGTCAAATTTGGGGGGCCTGAGGATTTTCCAGTTGAAAGTAATAATTGATGAAGTCTGGTATTCCCTTTTAACCTACCTTGTTGATTTACAAGCAATTATTAGTTCTATTTCTCCAAATTCAGGAGGAACCTAGAACAAAAGGAGTAATTTCTTATCTTACAGCTCCAAGCCTCCTTAGCCAAGAGATCCAAAAGCTCCCTCTCAAGCTTTACCCAGGGTTACACCATTCTCACAGGCTACTGCTTGGCTTTCTTGCTTTTTGCACTGCCTCACCCTGTTCTTATGTGCTTTTCGTTTCTGTATTTTCTACCATCCCTCACCTTCCCTTATCTCCTCCAGACACAATACCCCGTGGAACCAATTATTCCCCTTGTTTTAATTTCTGGGCAGACTCAGTTAAACTTTGTTTAAGGACTGACTACTTAACTGTCTCTTACAACGCTCTTAAATGTCAGACATGTTCACACATCAGCTTAAACAAGGCTTTAATTGAAATCATAACACGCCTAATGTAGCTCATAACAATGTAGTTCATATTGGCCTAAGTTTCACAAGTAAAGCTACAATATGATTTCACAAAGAAAAAGCATTAATTTATAAAGGTTGATAAAGAGCAGAGGATGAACTGTTTTTTCTCAGTTGTTTTTAGAGATAATCTTCTCTCTTGTCATGCCCTGAAAAGTGTTTTCCTCAGACTCTAATGTTAATCAATGTGTTTTCTTAATGTCAGATCATGGCTCCTTGGCCTGAGTTGGAAAACTCTCAACCCAATAACTATACTGACGACTCCTCCAAGAAAAACAAGGCCATGTCTGAAAAAGATGGAGAAAATCACAAAGGTAAGTATCTCCTCCCATATAATTTACATGGCTATAAAAACCTTATAGTTGTGCTAGGGGAGAAAGATGGCAAGCAACTGATTTGATTTGTTTGTGTTTATTTCAATAGACAGTGTGGATTCACTTCAAAGTAAAGGTGGACTTCAGCCTGCACATTCCAACATTGCCTTGATAGATGATCCAGGGCAAGAAGAAGATCCTTGGAGTATGCCAGTGTTACAGGACACTGGGGTCAAGTGGTCAGGTAACAATCTGTCAATTAACAACTTATTTACCTGTCCTTATTTCTTCTCGTTTTCTGCTCTCTGTAGCTTAACAAATTCTTCTCAAATGCTAGTTTCTCAAGAAATGCATTCAAGATCCTCCCCTTAGGCATGCAGATTTTTAAATGTTGGCATTGACCACTCAGCTTCAGTTTCCCCATTGGAAAAATGGGACTACAATATTTCCTCAGATTTTGTGGGTGTTGAGGTTATGATACAGTTTGCCCATCTTTCTAAAGTAACTGAGAGCTGTGAGATTAAATCTGTCAAGTAGTATCTCCAGTCTTTCATTAACCCCACTACATGTGGTAAAATCCTACAAGTGAACAGTAAAAAAAAGGATGAATTTCAAACTTCACTGAGTCCATATAAAAAAAGCTTTTATGTGCAGTGATGCTGTAGTTAAATTTTTATTAACAAGAGCATTCCTTTGGGTTTATCATCCACAGATCTTAGAACATTGTCCTTGACACCATGGACTATGGAAGACTTCCTGGAAGTGCCAAACTGTTCAAAAAGAAGTGCTAAATACATATTTAACATATAACATTTTCTCTTATGTTTTGCAGATATGGATAACAAAGGAAAAATATGCTCTGTACTCACAGGGATAGCAAAGTTTATTATCCTGCTTGGACTACTCTACTTCTTTGTGTGCTCCTTGGATATATTGAGCTCTGCCTTCCAGTTGGTAGGAGGTATGAAAACTCTTTTGAAGCATCCAGCTAGGTTTTGGGTGGGCTGTTGAATCTAATTTGATTCAAAATAAAGTAACTAATCAAAGAATATCAACATTGAGAATTGATTTCATTTAAATATACAGAGGAAGGCCTCTGTGATTAAATGTTGATCTCTCTTTGTTTGCAGGATGCCTTTGTTTCCAGAATTGCTGAGTGGTGTTGACATTAGAGATTAGTGATCCCAGTTTATTTTGGAAGCCTCTTTTATTTTAGTGGCTGTTAAATACACAGGTGTACTTGTGTATCTTTAATATGTGAAAGCTTTTATACTGGGTAAAAACTTAAAAACTGGATGCTTATTGCAGGTTCTCACAATCCCATATTTTGTGTGTTCCACACTTAGGTAACTGCTGCCGCCATCCAGCTTTGCATATAGAAATGTTATATTATGTCACCCTTTCTCTGTACCCTTATTCCTAGGAGCACAGCTCACTGATAAATACAGTAGGTTCTTTCTCAAAGCCAATCAGGAAAATCCGGTCACCACAGTTCCACTCCAGAGTTGGCTAACGAAGTCTTACTTTATTACTTCCAAGTGAACCCATGAATGATCTAATTTCTGCTTCATCTAGCTGTGCCCTTTATCTTCTCAAGTTTTAAGAAAATCTTATTACAGATCCCAGTTCAGATTTCTTTCTCGGAAGCTGCAAGGTCCTATGTCCTCCTAACTTGGTCTCCATGTCACCTTCCTGGTAGTCTGGACTCCTAGGGTATGTCTAGACTACATGCCTCTGGCGACAGAGGCATGTACACTAGGCTACCCGGCATAGGAAAATGAAGCGGCAATTTAAATAATCGACGCTTCATTTAAATTGAAATGGCTGCCGCGCTGAGGCGATCAGCTGTTTGTCGGCTCAGCGCAGTAGCCTGGATGCTCCACAGTTGACATCAAAGGCATTTGTTGACCTCCCCAGTAAACCTCATCCCACGAGGCATACCAGCGAGGTCGACAACTGCCTTTGATGTCGACCATGGAGCGTCCAGACTACCGCACTGAGCTGACAAACAGCTGATTGGCTCGGCGCGGCAGCCATTTAAATTTAAATGAAGTGTCGATTATTTAATTTGCTGTTTCATTTTCCTATGACGGGTAGCCTAGTGTACATCCCTCTGTCGCCTGAGGCATATAGTCTAGACTTACTCCTAGAGTTCATAATGGACTAGTCTCTGTTGTCATGAGAGTACATTGCTGGCACCTTAAACCAGGTCCCAGAAAAATAAGTCCACTTCCAGTCAACCAATTTCCACTTTCTCTTTCACCACTCCCCTCTCAGTTGCAGGCATTTGAATGGTAGCTCTTAGGTTAATAGTTGAAAATGGTTGCTTTTATTTTTCTCCCACTTCACACCATTATTGATATCCAATTCTGTCATTCATTTGATAAAGAATAAAACCACTCAGACAGAAAAAAGCTTACACAAGTGAATGCCCATATTGGGCCATGCTGAAAGTAAGACAAAATATAGAAGGATTTGGACCTATCACTTCTGTACCCATTTCTGTGCCTCAGAGAGCTGTTTTCTTTGAAGATCGACTAACACTATCTATATCTATGTATAATGATCATAATGGTCCTTTCTAACCTAGATTATAAAAAACTATGAATTCTTTTCCTCGGGGATTCCTTCTGCAAACAAACAAGCAAACAAACAAACAACAGTTTTGGTCCTTCCCTCTGACAAAGTGGACTAGATACAGTTCTCTCTAGGGCCCCTCTCTGTTGCTGTTTTTTCAGTGAACCTAAGGAAAAGGGGGAGAATGTAAGGTGTTTCCTAATAATTCAAATAGCTAGAGACTGTATAGTATATGAACTTGGATTTCTGGGTTAAATCACCTTTAGACTGAGAGGCATTGCTGCATGTGTATGGTTTTTATGATCTTTCACAAACTGCTGTCTCACTAAAATAATTCCTTTTCACAGGTAAAGCGGCAGGGGACATTTTTCGAGATGGTTCTGTGCTGTCAAACCCTGTTGCTGGTTTGGTGATTGGAGTTCTGGTAACTGTCATGGTACAAAGCTCTAGTACTTCCTCATCCATTATAGTCAGCATGGTGTCTTCTACATGTAAGTCTGTCTTCACAGTGCATTTCACCTTCAGACCCTTTATATTCACCACCTCCAAAAACAGAAACATTGGAAATGAGGAAAGGGCAGGAAAACAGCCTCACAGTTATTTCATACCTGCATTCTGCTTCAAAGGCATTTTAACATCAGACTTGAAAGAGAAACCTCTGAACTGTGATTCTTGCTTAAATTTGACACTTTACGCCGGGGTCTTAACAAAGAAGCTAATTATCTTACCCATTACAAAGATAGCTTTCCCAATTATCACCTCTAATATCATTAGCTCACAGATATTTACCTCCCCCCCATCCCTCCTCTGTTCTGAAATTTGATTTGTCTTTTTTATATGTGTTCACTTTTTTTTTATTGTATCCCTTTAGTATATATGGTCATGCCTATTTTCTTCCACAATTTGATCTGAGGAAGTGGGTCTGGCCCATGAAAGCTCATCACCTAATAAACCAACTTGTTAGTCTTTAAAGTGCTACATAGTCCTGTTTTTTGTTTCAGCTAGACTAGACGAACATGGCTACATCTCTATAATTATTTCATACTGATACTAAATAAGAAATTGACAGACATTCAAAATGGACATATTACACAGAAAACCAGCTATTCCCTAGTACAGTGTTCCCCAACACGGTGCCAATCACCTAATAAACCAACTTGTTAGTCTTTAAAGTGCTACATAGTCCTGTTTTTTGTTTCAGCTAGACTAGACGAACATGGCTACATCTCTATAATTATTTCATACTGATACTAAATAAGAAATTGACAGACATTCAAAATGGACATATTACACAGAAAACCAGCTATTCCCTAGTACAGTGTTCCCCAACACGGTGCCAACGGGCGCCATGGCGCCCGCCGGGGCATTCGTGTGCGCCCGCCAAGTGCTCG